AATGAAGTAAAATATGTAAACAATTCATGCATACATTCCATCATAAACTTTTCATCATTATCTCAAGCAAAGAGTGCAGACTGTTACAATGGAAGTATTAGCTTCAAGCTTTATTTTTCTCCAGGTAATGCCTGTAATGTCTACATACGAACGTGGTTTTTTTGTTATTGCGAAGACAATACGTTCACTTGTCCAACTTGTAAATTTTCTGCACACTTATTCTGTTGGGACGTTCCATTATATGAATATGCAGCACCTATATCTTATAGTGACAACGGGTGGGGATTCAGATTGCCTTCCCTGAAGATGAATGTAATTTGTGTACAAACTTATTCATACCTGTAAAAATAGTATGTGCCCGTACATTCAGGAATAAATATTATTACCATCAACCCCATCATAAGTGACGTTTCACCTCGCTATAGCCGACCGATGGATAGCTCAACTATCGAAATTCTTGATAATGCACCTGATAATACACAGATTCAACAACCACTAATGCAAAAATCATGATCAGGTCGAACCGTCAGGTCTCCGGAATATTTAAAGCCATATTCAACTAAGTAACGTGAAATAAAATGTGCCGACCATTTTTCATTCAGAATTATTTTTTGCCGGGTGCCACATTTTTATTTATTGGGAATTCGAAGATTTTCCCAGGTCTTACCGTTTTATATCAATTTTCGCTACCACGTAATGAAACTGTTTCAAAAAATGGAAATAAGCGTAAAATCTATTTTCCATATATCTGTATATAAATAATTCCCATTTTTGCGAAGCGTGTTCGTGGTACTAAAGACTTTTGTCTATATTCCAGGTGCACTGAGCACTGGACGGAACGCCACAGCACACTGAGGACCACGATCGACGTGCAATTCGATTTATTGTATTTTATTTTCTCATTCGCCACGACACCCTAGAATAAGTCCAGACAACCAGGGGCCACCTCCCGTACTGAGCCCATTGTAAGAGTTTTACCAGTGAAGAAACCACTGGATTTTACTTCCGTCTGCTGTGGTCTTGGGGTCCTCACGAACCCACTAGGGGGGAGTGATTTGTAGCTTCACGTACTTCCCCAAAATCAATAGCCTGGGGTTTGACAAGATTCAACATTGGCGCTGACTTTGATAATTTTACTGGACTCGTTAAACTGAAGGCACTCGGTCAAGCATCCCCACCATTTGGCACGCTTTCGTGTTCGTTGCACTACCAGGGGTCCTTAATTCACATTCACTGTTATATGCCGATGATCTGAAGATCTAGAGAGAAATATGAGAACCAGCGGATATTTCGATCTTCCAGGAGGACCTTACGAAAATCCCCAAGTGGACTACAGAAAACCTGCTTCCTCCCAACTCGAAGAAGTGTCGAATTATGATAGTTGACAAACATAAAGGCAGTCCCACGTCTTACTCTCTAGGAGAAATAAATATCTGTCACTCTAGCATGGAAAAAGATCTGGGAGTTACACTGAATGATGCACTAGGAGCCTTTGTTCACTGTCGCCTTGCAGCCTATAGGGCTTATGGAATCTTGGGGTTTCTCCCGTGAACTTTGGGGTTTCTAACCCCTTCTCTTTTCACCACGGTGTATGCTCTGTACATTCGTCCTCATTTGGAAAAAAATTCGCTTGTAATGTCCCCATACTTGAAAAAGGACATTGCGATTCTAGGACAGGTAGAGAAAAGAGCTACGAAGAAAGTGATTGGGTTACGGAACAAACCGTACCCAGACCGCTTAGTTGCTCTTCAGCGGCACCCAGTACAACACCGGAGGATCAGAAGGGATATGATCATGATGTACTACGTCTCCCATAATCCCCTCCATCCCAACAGATCCCTTCTAAGCTTCAGTCGGAAACGCGACTCCAGGGGTCACCCGTTAAGAATAGAGCATGAGAGAGCACGTACAAAGACCCATGCTAACTCATTTGCAGTCAGGGTCTGTTAACTGTGGAACTCCCTCCCTTCAGCAGTTGTTACGGCTCCATCCTCTGATGCCTTTAAAAGGAGGCTAGACGCACACCTCGAGTCCTACGGTACCGATGGGCCATACCGAGAAGCTTTCCTCAGGCCAGATGCAGTAATACTAACCAGAGACCAGATTAGTTAATTACTCGTATCTCTATCCTTTCAGGTTTTTCAGAACCGGGAAGATAATCGTGACCATTCCAAGTTCAGAACGCATTCAAATAAGACAGACATAGAACCCAAGGAACCGCAGTTCGCTGATTCTACAACACGAAGTTCGATCTCTCTCGCCAGTTAGTTGGAACCAATCGGTATCTTGGCACAACGACCTAAATATACCATTCCATCCGACAGATTTACTGTGTTCTTTCTTGGTCTCATATTCGTAGTACATAACAAGTTCGAATAATCAGTCATTGGCCTCTGCATCTGTCTAGTTAGCACCAGTACAATTTCTAAACATATACCGGTTTGACTTGGTTCAGCCTGTAGTGACATCTTCTTGGATTAGGCATTCAAATAGGATACGATTTGTTCACGGAGATATCCACTGTAAGGATTGACACAGGACAAATAGTCTACTATCCTTAAATCTGACTATTTATTGTGGGAATTGGTTGCGGGTTGATGAATTTAGTGATACGGCAAGGTCGTGTAAACCATTCGAAACCACACTTAGTTTGCAGTTTCGATTTTTTAGACTGACTGGTCTCTTGTCAACTTCTACCGTTTGCCACTTATTTTTTATCATTGAATGTAAAAAGAACGTGCGTACTTGCTAAGTTGTGGGCTCATTTTTCTCTCCTTTTTTTCCGTTCTAGATTTTCTATACTCATATTCCTGTATGCACTCCCTTGCGAAGATGAACCTACCTACAGGGTAAAAAAAGCCTATCAACAGCTGGTCTCTAAGTTTGAGGATTGTGGGGAAAACCTAGGCCTGTTTAAAATCTTCGGCTAATTCCTACAGGATTGGGAAGAAATAGACCTAGGTCTGCGTAAATGTTGTAAGTAACAATAAAACTAAAAGCCAGATAGAAAATTTTAATTGGGTATCGACAAGTTAGTAATGCATAACTAGAATATTATTACAAATTGTAGTTTGAGCTGGTTAACGTTTGACATTTTAGCAAGCCTAGTTTGCAGTTTGTAACTTTCTTACAGTGTCTCCACAATACTTCACCAAGTATACTGGGAAAATTGTCGTAAATATCCGGTAACTGCTCTTAAACGGTGTTTAGAAATGAAAGCAGTGCCCACTGACAAGGTGAGTGCGCTGAAATTGCTCCAAAACCTCAAACCTAGTAATTCCATTGGTTCAGACGAGCGGCAGACCTAAATTTGTTATATACATTCTTTCTATAAAGCAGTAACCATGTTGCAGAAGCATGCAACTTACTAATTATGAGTAGTAGTCACTGCTTTCAGGTTACACGGGGACTGACTGTACCAGCCAAAATAACCGTTTGTGGTCATCCATAAAGTCTTTCGATGATGGTAATACTGACTGCTTACCTACCCGAGGTTAATTGCGAATGATTATCCAGCCTGCAATTAGCATATGTGGGCTCAGTGCAAATGTATCATGCAAGATAGCCATGCATCTGTCTCTTTATAGTATAAAGTTGATCAAGCTACTGATATCGGTTTTGATTCTTCCAGTTATGAGACGTTGTGCTTGGGCTTAATTACACTTGTGCAAAGTATAATTCTTAGAAAAACTACTACTAATACTAAGAGCTTTACAGCTCTGAGCCATATCAAATAACTGCCAGAGTAAAACTTCTGACTCACTTAGTAGCAATATATTTCTTGAAGTACAGTACGTGACTGAAAATGAAATAATACTGACTCCTAAAATTAATGCAATTCTTCCTTTGTATATCCGAGATGTTTTAGGTTTTCGTTCCTCACTTGTTTTAAACATAAACTCGGTACGATATGGGCACCAAGAAATGCTTTACACTATGAAAACGAAAATGAGTCACGAAGTTCAGGAGTCCTGCCGCTGGAAAAGCATGAATAAAACCCATCCAAAGTCTGAGAACTCGTAATTCATTTAAAACTGAACAATCTTTGCTTGCGTATACCATATACATGATTTTTTCTCACGGTGAAAATATGCATTTTGCGTACTTGTCAAAATAATGCACTCGAACAATAATGAAAGTGGGACCAACGTTTACCAAATATCTTGATTACAAACTCTTACAAAATGGTAACACCCTTAGTTTTTATTGGACTGGTGAGTTTTTTGAGGATGTAAAATGCGTTACCTCCTGTACAAAAAGAAATCATATTCGAAACAAAGTGTGCTTTGCATTTATGATTACCTTCCCATACAAATATTCATGAACAGTCATACCTGTACGCATATTAAGCACCAACACAAGGTGGAAAGTTCAAATTGCCTGTAAATTGAATTTTTAGGACAAGAACCAATGAATGAGTTGTTACTGCCATTGACCGTTGGACTGATATGGGGAAGCACTAATATAGGTATGAAGCATTATTCTGACAGAGTTTTCAAGGTAAGTCTATCCATTCAATCTATGCCTTTGTAGTGTTCTGCGTTTTTCCTCTTGAATCAGTGTGCTTCAATACTGTTTATGTACGGATTTAAGCATACACGTAAGTATCTAAGCTGACATTTTTCACTGCATATAAGAATTATCAACGGGCGTAGCCGTAGCAAACGCAACAGCTCTATTAGCATCTGCACTCACGAGTTACTGTATATATCAAGAAAAAATTGGATGGACTGGTACGTTATACTCATTTATCCGTTCACTTTCAGGGTGTCTCGGAGTTATACTCATATGTCTAGGGACTGGTCTTCTTAACAACTAACTCCCTGCCGAGGATTTATATGTGCGAAATATTGACTTCTTGTTACTCTCGTCATAAAAATATATATGGAACTTATGTATACACAAGTTTGTATATTTTACAATGAACTAATCTTGATAGTTTAAGGAATACAGCTTTGCATATAAAAAAAATAAAATAAACAGTAGCTTTTCATTCTAGTTCACTGATTTCTTCCGTGAGAACGTACCGAACCAAGGCTAAGACCACATATGCCATTTATTAAAGAAGTGAACCAGTGATATCGTGAGATGAGCACTATGAATATGTATCCGAATCCCAATATTGTAATCAACCAAGATGCATATAAGCAAATATGGTTTGGCTCATTAAAAAACTGTGGACTGTTTGTGTAGTCGACAGGAAGAACACGTAATGGCACTCGAGGCAGTAAACCTGTAACATGAAGTATATCAGGCTATTAGAAAATGCATCAAAAACAGTGTCAAAAAGAAATGAAAACCGACTTTCTAATTTTTTTTCTTCACAACAAACTACTTGCATTCGCATCGTTCAGGAACTGCTGGATGCTAGCAGGCTGAACATGAATCTGTGAATAAATAAGTTTCTACTTCGTTGATGTTTAACATTAATATGAAACAGTGGATCAATAGTCATGGGTCGCGAAACAACAAGACAATATTAAAACTATGAGGAAGTTTGAATAAACGGTAGCAAAAATAAACGCAAAGGGTAGTTTCTATCAGGTCATACTTTCCACTGTTTTACCACTGATTAGGATAACAAATGGACACGTACCACAGTTCTTTGTTCAATCAAATATGAGGGAGATGCAGTATACTGGTTTGAGTTCTTGACTTTAAAACAGTAAGCAACGCGTTTGAAGCCTACTTCCTTACAAAATAGGTGTAGCTAATTGCCTACTGCACGAATATGTACGTCGTTGGTGAGTGTCATTTCGATCCTAAACCTGTAATATAACGACCAAACACGAGAACCGTGTTCGAAATCTAATAATAATTAACTTCATGTTATGCCTGTTACTCATTGTATTGCGCATCTTGTTTGAGGGATAATGCGAACTGACTTTAAATTCGGCGGACGTTAATGAAACTGATCTATAAATAGTTCGGAAATAAGATGCTTATCATCTAGATTGCGCCTTACTGGCCGCAAAAAACAGGCGGCAGTGGAGCCTGTTCGTAGTAGACTAAGTATTCAAGCAAGTATTTGGACAGGAGACACCTAAGTATTTGCGTGGGTATAGCAGTAATTTCCTTCTGGTGAAGCCTGGTCTGATATTCAGTCTGCTGTAAGAACAGGGAGGAAAACAGTTGATAACCTACATCTAAGGGTTAGCAAGTGTCATTGGATTTCCACGACGTCCGAAGTGGTCGGTGCAAGAAGAATCATTCTGGCTCCGATCACGACTAGGAATAGAAGCAGCTAAACCGTAAATTGACTGAGAGTATTCGCAATAGCGCGTGGCCAAAGCGAAGGCATCAGCATTAGGTAATAGTCGGAAATATTTGGGCCGATTAAAGACATCGACAAGATGATGGTTAGTGAAACAGTCTTCGAAACGGGTGCGTCCCCAATGACCTATCAGGACACGTGGCTAGAACTTCGAGCAGAAACTTGAAGAAGCGTCCACATAGCCCATAACACTCCAGTTGCTCAACAACCAGCACAAACCTGAATGGGATGAAGATGTCGATCCTCGAAGTCGAGGTAGCTGTTTCGAACCTGAACCAAAGCAAAGTAACAAGACCAACTGAAGTTTTTAAGGGTAGAGGCAGGGAATTGCAGTTTGGAGTAACGGAGGTACTAATTAGTGTATAGAAATCAGAGGTAGTATCCTTTGTCTGTCCTACTTCACTGATAGTTTTAGTCTATAAGAACGGATAAAAGTCTAGTGTTAATGATAGGAGAGTCACTAACTGAAATCGTACCCACGATTCTAGGGAACATATATGATATTTGGGTGGGATTCACAACAGCGAAATTGGGGCAAGCGGATAGGTTTCAGAATTGGAACAGGATGTATCTTCGTTACCTTCAAATGTAATTTGAGGCTTCAATACTAGACTGCAACTACTCCTAATTTAAGGATAGTGAGTGAAGAAGTAAGGTGCTTCGGCCACTTCACTTACTTTGGAGGTTGCACCAGCCCAACTAGGTCAGCTGTCTAAGAAATCTCGATTGCGATACTAAAAGCCCACTAAGTGTTAGCCAACTTATGTGACCTCAGACACCAGCAAGACATCACATCACCGGTCAAAGTACGAGTATACTGCGTTAAAGTCCGCCTTACCCTACTATGCGGCTGTGAGAAGTGACTGTTGGAAATAAATGTGAAGAAATTGAAAGTTGCTTTACAGCATCACTCACGTATGATGGTATCCTCGTACGAGCGATTTCGAGGTCAAGAAAAGATAAAAGGCAAGTCAGCTGTGGGGTTTGTGGACCTTCAACTACTAAGGTAGCCTGGACATATGTTGCGCATGCCCAGAGGCCACCCAGTTTGAAGTGCAATATTAACCGAATTAGCCTCATATACTCTTGTCTATTTGGATATCACTCGTTTTCAATCCACTTATTCTTGGGATGCTGCTGTGAAGTGCGGCAGCTTGGACCAATACACTTCTATGAGAGGTTTAATGTTCCTTTCTACATGCCTACATATCTAGACAGCTTGACTTTCTGAAATAACTTTCGAAACCTGCAGTAATATCGCTCTAAACTGAATTAATACTAGTTCATTTACGAACACTCAAAAACGTGCAGTTGAAACAATCAGATATTCTAAGCTAACAACAAACGATTCTCCTACAATCCAAGATTCATTCATTTTTAAATGTAATAGCAATGATAAACTTGGTGCAGGACTATCTATATCTTCATCTAAATATTCGATACAGACAGTTTTCTTAGCTGCTATATTAACAAAAAGATAGTTTCGATATTCAGAGAAACTACTGGCAAACGCCTCATCATTATGACAGATAATCATCATCAGTCGACGTTCCGACTAGTAAACATATTATTTGTCCTTTACTAAACCACGCCTGGTTAACTAGTTCACTAGTTACTAGCTGGTCCTAAGCCTGGATAAAGAGCGAAGCTTGGGCATAGGACTAGCAACCCTACCCCCTAAAACCAATCCAATCGCTAAAGAAACCTCTAAGCACAAAGAAAATATAAAAAACGAAAACAAACTTATTCTTCGCCAGAATCGGAAAGACGAAATGACGCCGGTTGGTGAAAGCCTTCGGGAAGCCAGTCAGCCAATGTGTCTTCTCTTGATGAAGGCGAAAGTAAAAGTGGAGACATGAAATGCCCGCACCATGTATGAACCTAGCAAGGCTGCCCAGATTGCAAAAGAGATGAGGAGGTATGGCATAGAAGTGCTAGGAATCTGCGAAAGTAAATGGAATGGAAGTGGACTCTCCAAACTCTAAACTGGAGAGTCAGTAATCTACTCCGATATTGTCACCCAGACGGCAACTACGAGCACACGGAGGGAGTGACTATCATGATGTCTCCAGGAACGTCGAAGGCTCTCATGCAGTAGGAACCAATCTCCTCCTTCAGCATCAGGATCATAACAGCAAGATTCAACTCAAAAGGAAGGAAAGTCACAATCATTCAATGCTACGCGCCAACAAATAATGCAGATGAAGAGAAGAAGGAGGAATTCTATAGACGACTGCAATAAGTACTAGACAATACTCTAGTTGGCGACATCGAAATTCCAATGGGTGGTGTGACATGAATGCCAGACTCGGAGTGGACAACACAGGAAGATAACTCATCATGGGTAGAGAAGCACTCGTTTGTGAAATGAATGAAAATGGAGAACTGTTTGCAGAGTACTGCCCATTCAACGACTTGGTGATTGTAGGCAGCATGTACAAACACAAGGTTATTCACAAAGTGACATGGATTTCACCAGACATCAGGACACGCTAAAAATCAAATCGACTTCATCTCAATCTGAAGAAAGTGGAGACGCAGTCTACTGGACACAAGATCAGATCAGGAAGGGGAGCAGATGTAGGTTCACAACACTCACTGTCTAGTGCGAGGAACCTTCCAAATCAAGTTGAAAGCCTTCACAGAAGTTGGTGGTAGACCACAGTTCAAGTTCAACACCCCGAAACTGAAGGGCGAAACTACAAAGGACATCTTCACGTCAGCCATCAGAACAAAACGGAAGACATTAAGCAACATCCCTGAGGGATAGGGCGTGGAAGAACACTGGAATTCTTTGAGAGCTATGTGGAAGGAAACCTGCATAACCGTATTAGGAAGAAAAAGGAAAGAAAACAAGGACACCACATGGAAGCTGATAGAAGAGAGGAAGATGGTGGAGCAGAAGATGAACCAGTGCAGGGATGCACAACGAAAAGAAGAACTGCGTACAAAGTATAAAACACTGGACAAAGAAGTGAAGAAGAGTGAGCACAAAGACAAAAGACACTTCTACGACACGTTGGCAAGCGAAGCAGAACAGGCTGCTGGTGGGAGAGACCTGACAACATTATATCAAATGGCCAGGTTACTATCCAGGAAGAGACCAACGCAGACGAAACCAATGAAATATAGTTACGAAAGAGGACCACTTCAAAAAATCTTGAATTGAACATCACCACCACCTACAACTCGTCCGGAAATACCACCAGCAACGGCAGAACTCCCAGTGAACGGAGGTCCTCCGACAAAAGCAGAAGTCCTAAATGGCATAAAACTGCTGAAATCCGGGAAAGCAGATACAATACCACTAGAAGCACTGAAACCACGCAGAGACAACAGCGAACATGCTCACACCACTATTGCGGAAGGTTTGGGAGGGAAGGTACCTGTCGATTGGAAGACAGGCCACCTTATCAAAATCCAAAAGAAGGGAGACCTGATTCTTTGCAAGAACTGGCGCGGAATCATGCTGCTGTCTACACCAAGCAAAATATTATGCCGCATCATCCTGGAGAGAATAAAGATGCGCTGGATTCAAATTACGACCTGAACAGGCTGGCTGGCTTCAGGAAGAAGAAATCCTGTGCTGATCAAATTGCAGCACTATGCTACGCATCATCATAGAACGGAGTATAAAATGGCAGTCAAATCTCTACCTCAATTTCATCGACCTTGAAAAGGCCTTCAACAGCGTCGACCGAGAAGTAATCTGGCAGTTGCTTCAACACTACGGTTTCAGTGCCAGAAACCTTTATCAACCTCATTCAACAGCAGCTATATGACGACGCCACATGCCAAGTGATTCACAATGGAAAGCTCAGTGACGCCTTTGAAGTGAAGACAGGAGTAAAGCAAGGTTGCCTACTATCACCCGTGACCTTCCTGACTGTGATCAACTGGACGGGATTAGGCAGCAAACCGTGAAGAGTGAGATGGGTATACGCTGGCTGGACCGATGAAAAGAGTCTAGAAGATTTGGATTTCACCGATGGTTTAGGTTTAATGTTGCACCAACTCGAAGATCTACAAGCGAAAACTGACAAGTTGACAGAAGAGGCAGCGAAAACGGGCTTCAAATGAATGTAAAGAAGACGGAGGTGATGAATATACCCAATCAACGACAGCACCAACAACAAGCACCAATCACCATCAACGGGTGAAACCTAAAGGAAATATTCTTTTCCACCTACCTAGGCAGCATTGTTTCAACTACAGGTGGCGCAGATGAGGACATCAAAGCTAGGATCGGATAGACAGCAAGATGGGCCTTCATTATTCTGAAACCAGTGTGGAGATCAACTGCGCTCAGCATAAAGAACAAGATCCGGATTTCAACACTAATTCAGTCAAGTCAGTGCTGCTGTATGATTCAGAAACTTGGTGCGTTATGAAGAGCATTTCCAACAAACTACAGACATTCATTAACAGCTGCCTACGCTCGATACTGAAGGTCAGATGGATGGCCAAAAAGAATGAGCAACAAGGAACTCTGGCTGACAATGAACCAAGAACCTATCGCCTAACAAATATGCAGGAGAGAGTGGAGATGGTTGGGCATACACTGAGAAGGCCGACTAGGGACATCACGCGCCAGGCCCTCGAGTGGAATCCAAACGGGAAACGACGAGTTGGGCGTCCGAGAGTGACATGGAGGAGATCATGTGAGGAAGAAATGAAAGCTTGTGGGCAGTCGTGGCGCCAGGTTCAAAAGATTGCAGAGAAGAGAGTGCAATGGATGCGTACTACGGAAGCCCTACGTCCCACTAGGAACCCAAGGGAAAAAAATAATAATAACTGAACAGTTATAGGCGTCATCAATCAACAGCGGTGATCTTCAGGTAAATTATTCGACTTACGCATATTAAGCCAAATAAAGTCAACAATGGCCTCTAGATCCACATCTGAACCGGAATACTCGTTGAAAATTTTACCGTTGACAATGATTTTAAGTTTTGGTACAAACAGCATGCGTAGACTCCATTTGTAAGCTAAATAGTCTTCTACTTGAACTCCGTATACTGGCAGGTGGGATACGCTCGAGCTAGTGCATTCACATAAGGTAGGGAAGCCTGAGAAAAGCGGCAACTTGTAGAAAAGACGAATAAGATGTAGCACTCGTGGAACCGCAGTTGGTCAGGCTGTTTATTAATGTACGGAGTTTGTCGGGCGAATTCTGTTTCAGTCCACGTCCGGTGGGAGTTGAAGAGACTTGATAATTGCAGCCTATTCAGGAATTTAATGTGACTAAGACTACCGTTTATCCAGTTGAAATTCTGTAGTCTACACTGCGGGACAGTGTGAAGATGTTCTGTCATAGGCACATGGAATGACCATCCAGACTGCAGAAAACTGATATCTGCTGGAAAAACAAAATATGCGACTCGATAAGTATATTGACACATAAAAAGACATCTAGCTGTGGAAGGCTGTCTAATTACAACGAATGGAATGAGTGGAGCCTAATTTTAACCAGATCTACTACTCTATATCCTTAGGTACTGAACACCACTTCAAAAAAACTACCTTCAGTGATTCACCTGGCAGTGTGCAAAATCAGCTTAATAGTTGGGGGTACGGTTGGTCAAAAATATGTTAAACATTGGCTAATTAGCATGGGTCATGAATTTTGAAATTAATGATAAATGAAGAATTTTTGTGACAATTCACACATTGAGTTTCCAGTAACCGAATAGTGCGGTGTGTGTGCAATAACCTAGTATACAAAGATGCATACTTTGAATATATCATGGATCAGCAGTTCGCCAGAACTCTATAAGAGAAAAAAATATGATTAAATTAAAAAAACAAAATTTGATTTCGACGAATAAGGCTATCATCGTATTTGTTGAATGATACGACTTCGAAGCGAAGTATTTTAAAGTTCTATGTAAAAACTCCATGAAGTGACATTGCAGAAGAATGGGACATCGCTATGGTCTTTAGAGCAGCATACGATGATTATGCATGACCGATGTGCATGGTTAGCAAGAATTTATGTAAGTCTATCGCCTGCAACAAAATGACTCGAACTAAAAAACATACTAGAATTCACAACTTCAGGAGCAAAATTGCAACGTCCACTGACTGTATTCGTCAACTGGTTATAGATAAACTTGACTATAATCCATTTATGAATTATAAGTTAAATAAGATAAATCTGAAGCTGCAACACGAATCCTTGCTGCATAATCCAAAAAACTTAACTATTATTATTCCGAAGGGGTTTTTCAACATGAATCGACATCAATCAGAGAACCGTTAGAAACCTATGAGTACTGGACAGCTGCTTCATTCTAGTTGTGGAAGTCTTCAGTCTCAAGGTAGTCAGATAAAGGCAAATCACTGATTCTTAAAACTGACTTTAGTTGTGTACGACACTATACATCTCATAGTTGAGGTTCATTAGACAGTCCGAATCAGTGGGTACGTAATAGGTGGCATGGTCCAAAATAATTTGCAATCCTGGTTACACATTTTGTATACAATGAACACTTCCCAGCTCGTTTCTTTGGCCAGTTTTAAGTCGTTAATATCACTGTCATGGTTCATTTATTCTTTCCTTCGTTATCCCCCAGGGAGATTTTAGCAACTTATGGTAACCATTTCAATAAACTGCTCGTCTATTCACCCAAGTAAATTTCATCCACGTAATATCGAATAAATAGCGAGAAACGACCTCCACAACCACTGTTCGATATAAAAACTCACTAACTATAAGGAGAAACAATGTCATCCGTTAAGTCTAGGGATGAAATACAAACTATTTCGGCAAATGTACTTGTTTCACCTTTCAAAGTGCGTATTTAGTAGGATTCAAAGAACATCTATGCACCACACTTTGAAGGATAAGACAGAAATGTTAACAAGTTGTTCACTGTAGGTAAAGATTAGGTGAATTTACAAGTCATGGTGACTTATTTATACCGAACATTTCATTTGCAAATAAAAGGAAAAAGCATCACTGAGTCTTGTTTGCGAAGACGTCTTGAAGGGCATGTAAAGAACTAGGTAACCAATGAGGACAAGATCGATACTACATAAGAAGAGCAGCTATGTTTGTAGCTTTTGCTAGTTTGTTTCAGTCAGCTGCAACATGTTACGAAAGAGGAGTGGTACTTTATTGAAAATATTCAAGAACAAATACACAGAAAAAACCTTTTAGGGAAGTATATCAAGTACAGAATAATAGTTACAGCAGACAAAAGATTGACCTAAACATACAATGGCTCGACTTGCCAAACTTTGCAACAGTACAAATGAGCTAGGAAGAACCAGAAGATTTGAAATAAACAAGAGACATATAAGAAAATAAACAAAATACGTTAAGAATTTCGAAGGTGATAAATGCTGAATGCGCTTGTGTTACGGAACTCATCTTCCAGCTAAACGATAAGCTCTACGGGGTTTGTTTTTAACATTTCGACAGACATTTCTCGGACACAGAGCCCACACAACTTTAAAGCAATAGTCTGGGGTTTCAGAAATTCCCAACAGGTTTTCGTTTACGTATTTGTAACTAAGAATGCTAAAAATCTACGAATGAATGACCAGTGTCTCAGAATTCATGTCATACACTCCGACAAACTCAGGGTCATTGATTGACACACTTTCTTGCTTTGGTACTCTATATTCGACACAGATGATCATGTTTCCGCCACCAAAGCTGTGGTTAAGAAAAATCATTTTACATTTGGGAGGTGCAAAACAGAAGTTAAGCTCTAACATCAACACCAACAGGAAACTCTAAATTCTATCATTGTTTTCATAAAACAGAACTATTTCATCAGCTTACTTTATGTGCTGACCGAAAGCTGCTAACCTCATGTGGCGGTCGCGCTTATATATGACAATGACCAAACAAGCTATGCCGATGAAACGCCAGCTCCTTGAAGTCCTAACATACCGAAGACGTTTGTTGGGTGGTGGTAAAACAAAGAGTAGTTATCGTTACAGTGTGAATCCCTATGGTATGATAGCTGCCCAAGGGTGAAGGCGTATGGTCGATTAGACGGGTGTGACGGCCAGTAACATTTCCTTCAAATAAGCAGCACCATCATGCGGATACTACGCTCCCACATTATAACAGAAGTTGGAAAAGATCGACTACAAACAGAGCTAACTCATTAACCCTGTGATCTTCTAGTCCCCGTAGTCTAGGTTTATAGAGCGACAACGAAAAAAGTCAAGTCTCACACTTCCAAAGAAGCCATGTGATCGGCATCAACAAGATATCCCTTGAGCTCTGCGGTCACGAAAGAAATTTATCAACCCTTCTTTCTCAGATACTTAAAGAATAAACAGCCTACCGCAGTATGAGCAACCGGGATATGTTAAGTGTCCTTACAAGTCTATCAGCATTTAAGTTTCCTCACATCCTTAGCAAACTTCCACATCGTTGCGAAACCCTACGAATTTTTCTGTAGTGGGTGGCTCAATATTGCTCTATTTAACCCGACGAAAATGTTGACTGGGTTTCGTCCAGTCGTCATAGCCAATGCTTTTAACTTGGTGATACTGAAGACGCCTACATATATGCATGAACAAAGGTGATTATCATTCCGTCGTTTTCCTTAACCATGGCAGTGAAAAAGTGCATATTCTACTTGAAATGAAAGCGAAAAAGCTGCAGTGAATTCCAGTGTTGCTGATGCAAATTTAGATAGTTCCATTTGTAGGTGAGGCTAAAAAATGGTCTGAGTTCACATAAAGACACATGTTAGGTCCTCATGACAGCCCCTATACAGTTAACACGAATTTTTTTTCGTTGAAACGTTAAATAGCTGGCAAATAGGTGCATAAATATATACATCAATAACTAGTTATTATTGTTACCTGTCTATACTTACGCCAAATAAGCTTCCCTGAACTTTTTTGATTAGGTTTATCTTGACTGCGAATACTTTCATTTCGACTTCCTGGTATCTTTAGTTCAGAGTAGGTACCGGCGATATTAACTATTCCAGAAACGCAACAAAAACAGATAAGTGCGACCAAGCCGCCCATTTACAAGGTCTTCAATACCCAATGTTTTTTTGAAACTGCTGAAGATATTGACTATCCTCTCACTCGTTTCTGGGTTTAACCTTCACAGCCACCTACAAAAATCATACCTTAATAAGAAATGTGCAAAAAATCATATGTTTCAAAAAATCTATTTGTTTTACAGATCACTACAAGAATTATATTTTTCTGCAAACACAGTTTCAGCATACTCGTAGAATCTGTGGGTGTTTTGCACTGGAAAGACTCTAGGAGTAAAAAAAAGGAAAATCATTCAATAATTAAAAAGATATTGATAGTGGAACCTGTCTGTAAGATGGGAGATGAAAATCCATATCCGTCTCATGAATTTCAGCAAACTTTAATAAGATTGTGCACACTAATGACTTGATATGTAAGTTATTTAATGCTGGCTACCAGTTCGTAAACTTCCAAAAATTATGAATTTGATGGTGCTTGTAAACTGGTATTATCTAAACTTTAACAGTCTATGCACGCTGCAAAGTAATGTTTCCTTCTCCGTATCATAACTAGCAGGAACTTCTGCAGTTTTTAATTGAGTTTAATGACATTCAGTCAGTACCACTCAGAGCTCAAGTCTTGTAGATATTTTGAGACGTATCAACGTGATGAAGCCTGTAAACTGGCCGCTCTCATGTTGAACTTTTTTTAACGCGAGAATAAAACATTAATTTATTTATTTAAAAAATATGTCAGCCTAATTAACACCTGCATTCATCTTTATATTTTGTTAGGGTTTGTTTCCGTTCTTTCATTCTCACTACTGTGAAAACATTTTGAAGCTGTGTACATCCAGATTGTTCACGAAAATGTTTTGTGTTTCTCTTTACGTGAAGACGAGTCTACCACTATCTAACATCCAAAATCCAATGTATTTTTACGAGCAAGTGTAAACAAATTGATTTCTTCCCGCTCACTTCTAGGTCTTTCGGAACGGTTTCAGGTCTTCGGCGGATTCCGATGCAGTAGGTCTACCCACTCCACTTCTGTAGCTCTGGTTAGCCCGACGGGTGGTTGGCCGTTGGTTAAATTTGTTAGGAGTGTGTTGTTATTTTTTTCTTCCAAGGACTGTGGTGCATATGGATTCCTCAAGTGTCGTGCCACCAGACAATTGGTCGATGAGATATTCAAATAAATACGACCACGTAGTCCAGCGATTCTTTAACTGCCCTTTTTTCTTAAAATCGAGACAGGAACTAATCAACTGTTCTCGAAATTCTAAGAAATAGGAACAAGTTTGCTTAAAGAAATAGAAGCCTATTGCTCTGAAATGCACCGACTCAACAGGCCACACTAGGATCTCACAAATAATTCCACGATGGGCTTAATAGCACGAACCATCAAAACGCACCAGAATGGAGACGCAAGGAGGCTGACAGAGTTGGACAGAATATGAACACTAGATGAGCATACACATATGCCGAAATCTGGTAACCCATCACTCAGATATAGGATGAAAAGGTAGTACATGATTCTTGTGAAGGTCTGAGTGTTAAAAGCAGGCCCAAGATAGGAGAAGAGAGATGAAGTGAAACACACAAACAGAATGTCTAAACATACAATAAATACACGTGAGTACATTTACAAAACATTAAAAACGATATGAAAATAGGCATACGAAAATGTTTGTTTCCACACCCAGAAGTCCATTGCTCTGTGCTGAGTCGATTCAATAGACCAAATCAGGGGTCTCACAATTAACGCGGCGATTTGTAGAGATGACGAAACGGCTGAACTCCCAGCGGGTCAGCACCAACAAATCTTCTCGTTCGCCATCTACTTAAGTGTTCACGAGGATCCTACCATCCAAGGGGAACTGTAAGTTGTCGACTCAAGCACTGAGCGAGAACGTTGCAGGCCGCAGTCACTCGCAACAAGTGCTCTTCCGGAATTGTGCGAAAATCCATACAGTGACTCTGTGGGAAGGGGCAGCGATCTTGGCGGGATCCGTAAGCAAGTTGTTCAAGGATTCTCTAAGTCAGGGGAAAGTTCTCAGTCCCTCGCAGTTAGGTCACGTAACACCAATCTTAAAAGAGGGTCAACGAAACAGCCCTAATGACTACAGATTAGTGACGGTCTTATCTATACCTTCCAAAGTACTGGAGTCATTAATTTACAGTGGACCGGAAAATCATTCCATAGCTGTTGATTTCTTTAAAGTCCAAAAGGTAATCTTGAATTACTAACTTGTTTATTGGGGCAGGTGAGGGAAACGGTATCGTCGTCCGTCGATGTAGAGTGGACATTACTTTCTAGACCTCTCTGATCGTCTGATCGCGTCGATCATGACTGCCTTACTAACACATATCAAAGCTATTCGAGGTGAAACTGACACCAACCGACTGGTTTTACCCACATTTATGAGTTGGAGTACTATTTTCTGCGTATGGGGAAACAAAATATCGGGGTGGGTTTTCCCAGGGTTCAGTACTGGAACTTCTTTTCCGGTTAGCCTGATTGGTCTGCGTACACCAGTGGCTTCCGAAATTCAAGAGCCAGGAAGATAGTGCTTTCTACAAGAAGATACAACTCCGATTCAAAGGGGGGAATGAAGGATGGACTAGAGTTTAACCCTGAGAACTTCAACTTTTCAGACTCCAGGCAAGACTCACATCTGGCGTATAAAGGCAGAAGCAGAATGGGGGAAGAGGGATTTGACAGGTTAGATCCCTGAAGACTTAAATTCCCATGCTATCTGCCAAAGAAACGCGTCATGGAGGAAAGACTGCGCTAGCCACATTTCGATAGCTTTTCGAGTAGTTTGATTGTAGATCTTTTCGCCGAACTTTCGACAGCCTAACCTGAAGTTTAGGGGTATAGCCTTGGTCCATTCTCCACAGGAGAACAAAGTGAGCCTAGAGCGTGTCTGGAGGTGCTCGATCAAATATATACAACAGCCCAGGTTGAAAACCTCAGAGGAAGACATACGGAGCTTTATCTACGTCTTCGAGGGCACAGAGGAATAAGAGGCGATTCACAGCGGCTTATTATGATAAACGATATATGTTATAATATCGTGTTGAAAAAAAGGATTTTAACATGAGAGAAGCCAGTCTACACGCTTCATCACGTTGATACATCTCAAAATGTGTACAAGACTTGAGCCGTGAGTGGTATTGGTGGAATGTCATTAAACTCAATTTAAACTGCCGAAGGTCCTGCTAGTTATGAAATGAAAGCGGAAATATTACTTTACAGCGTACATAGGGAACTAAAGTTTAGATAATAGTAAATGTCGCCTTCATTTAAGAGGCTTAACATGAGGGATACTAAATTACAAGCACCGTCAAATTCATAACTTCTGAAAGTATCTAGTATTAAATAATTTACATATCAAGTCATTAGCGTGCATAATCTTATTGAAATTTGCTGAAATTCATGAGACGGATGTGGATTCCCATCTCCCATCACACAGGTGGGTTCCATTATCAATATCAGAAGCGCGCAGTGTTCGAGGTTTGCGTTGTAACCAGCCGACGTTGTTGGTCCATTCGCGTAGTTTGGTCATTAGTAATATAATAGTTTGTTACTTAGAATGATCTTCAGTTTTTAGTTTGCTAACCACAAAGGACCCATTTATACAATCTGGAGTATCAATGAAGTATCCACAGTTAAATAACCAACGTGTATGGCTATATAAATAAATCTCCAGGACACCATGTTAATTTTAAAGGTGATATAGATTAATTCTGCTGGGAATACTTGTTGTATTGGATGAAAATAGATGTTGAAACAGTCAATAGTCCAAGTGGCAGTGTTTATACATAGACCTCGTGTACCTTTTGTATTAGCATAGGCGGCATCATTCGAGAAGTGTATTTGATGCGTAGTAAGTTCCATATGAAAAGGTCTCTTGGTACAGAGTACTAGAAAATATGTAGTATGGAGCCATTGCAGGTAAGTGACGTCCTGAGTCGATATTTTAATTGGTCTCTGGTTTAATCATCTGTTCAGAATGCCTCTGCTACTAATACTGTTGGGAATGGTCAGACGGTCCGTCGCAACAAAAATCATGACGAGTAGGCGAGTTAATCTTGAAGATGGTCTAGAAGTTGCGAAACAGTGGGAGCAGTCCATTAATTATTGGCGTCAATGAGCAGGTGTTATTCCCGTAAAGTAACCACGTTCAGACTGAATTTGAACATCAAATGTCGACTTGCAGCTGTTTCTGCAAATGATGAAAGAAAGGCGAGGCACGAGCAGATATGGAAATGCAGATTACTACGCTACCAAATTTGGAGTAGAGAAACCCCTATTCCTCTTTTAATTACCCGGACTTTATGTACATTTTCATGTATATATGTGAAGTCAACTACATAATCCTTCCATTGAAAGGTTCTTAAGTAGTTTTTTTTGGGGGGGGGGGTGTACACCGTAGTGGCTTTCAGAAATTGACAGTATTCTTTAAGTTCATTATACGGAGAGGAGCCGGTATTCATACCTTTGTGTGCAACCGTAAGGCCATCTGCATTGAAGGAACTGTAGGGCTTTAATAAAACCGATTCTTAAATTTAGAGATCTGAGTACGTTCACAGTGAACGCAATGGCTTGACCACTGTTATGTGCTGATTGCTCCATTATGCTTCATATTTGTGGATATAATATGAATGTCAAGAAATTTGTAGATATCCGTGAAAAGAAAGAATTCATTGAGTAGACGTCGAAACTGAAATGCAGACATGCAAGTGCGAATAGAATGTGGGCGCTCATTCCATAACCTGCTGTACTGTAACATAAAGGATCGTGACCTACGTTTAAGGCGGTGCTTTTCTACAGGCACAGTGCATTCACGTTTATGTAGACTATATGAGGGCTTAAAAGCAGGAGCGCAACAGGCGTGAGTAATGCCATGCAAAAGGCGGAAAAATCGGCTAAGGCTGAGCTTGAGGCGTCTTAGCCGAAGTGGCTCAATTTTTAGCTTCTTACACCTTCCCTCATAATCAAGTTCTTCGTGACGGCCCAGTACACAGCGGGCAAACTTT